TACGACGTTCGACGGTCAGACTGTTCAGACCATTGGCGTTTGATAATCATTTGTTCTAAACTTACCGATCCTCTGCGGGAAGAGGCTCATCCCTATCCAGTTTTGTTTTCCGAATCTCTGTAACAGTACCTTCGCCGGAGGTAGCACGGGAGCATTGAGGCTAAGAGCAACATAGACTGCACCTACAAACTAGAAGAACGCTCTTCAGTACAACGTTTTTTTGAAACTTTCCATCTTATAAGTTAGGTGGTCATAGGTGACTCTACTGTTTAAACCAAGGGCATTTGTAACGCGATCGTCCTCAGTGGAATATTTTATTAAGGGAACCTGTCGGGTAAATGCGCGATAACCCTTCGATTGCTGATCCATTTCGTCAAATGAAATACTCCGTCGGGCAGAATACGTGTGAGTTGCTTAACGAGTTCCGTTGCTTCGTGAATAGAATCGACACTAACTAAACACTTGTCGACATAAAAACAGTTTTTTGCTACTTATTGAGCCTTAGTTTTAATTCACAATAACTGTCAACCATAACTTGTCGTAACGCGTAGTTAGCACAGCTTGATGACGATGTAGCGTCAAACGGGTGTACAGTCATGCGGTATTCAATAGGGATTGAACAAAAATTAAGTTTCTTCCACTACAGGAACCTCAAGCGATTCCGATCCTTGATAGGAAATTTGACCTAATGAAACATGGCTTCAATATCAGACACGATGGCAATCGGGTGGAACCTGAACAGCAAAAGCGCCCCCTAGATTGTTTTGACATATCGGGACCATGTATGTTATTGATTGGGGGAAGTTCCACGGTACGAAGCTTGACAATCAAAGACCACGCACTTTACCGGGTTTACGTGGATGCGATACCGAATGGTGTGTTATGTACCAGGTTTCCCCTTTAAGCCACAGTTCCTCTAATGGAACGTGTTCAGCACATTATTTAACTATATACTCTTCCACTGCCTTAGTGTGTGCATGGCACAGTGTAGCATTCTTCGACATACGTTTCTTCAACATGGCAAGTATCATCAGTGCGAATTGCCTGTTCTCTGGTAACCGAGTTCTCCTAGCTTGATATGGTAACACAATCTCACAGTGGGCGCCAAACTTTCTTTTAGCATCTTCATTAGTTTTAATGTGCCTCCGTCGTTCAAAGACGTGGCTAGCCGTGGAATATCTCGCTCGTCAAATTTCCTTTTATACATTTGCTCTAGTAATTGATGAAGATCAGTGGTATCGCAGCGAAGTGAGTTGATCCTCCATGATCGATCAACTATCAGTGATGTTGATTGCTCCTTCATAGTCTTACGCTGTTTGTTCAGTACAGATACAATCCAGCCCAATATTGTTTTAACAGCATACTTATCATCAGGATCCTCGCGCCCCTGAGCTAATGCCCAGTGTAGGTATGGTTTATTGCTTCCAATCGAAACTTCATCTCTTCCTTCTAGCTACGGTAGCCGTAAGTCGGAGAAGCGAGACCATCTGCCGAAATCGCTGTTCCTGTTTACCGTTCCAAGGTTTTCAGGGCAACAACCGGCTGATCTAATTGAATTCAACTGGACCGCGTCATCGCCAACTACAGATTGAACAGCTACACTGACTAACTGGAACTCCACTTGGCATCGGCAAGTAACGATGCTAATGTTAATCGTCGTCACGGACTCTTTAACCCCGATAACTTGTAGTAATGCTGAAACAACCAGCGAAGTATCTGATCCATTATATATTAAGGCGAACCTTCGAATGGTGCCAGCGGGTTCTAAAACAAGCACAGGCAACACGCCAAGCGATACAGCAGAAGGTTCGGCGTGACTGTGAGCAAAATTGGATCCTTCAGTGTTCGGTGTGTAAAAGTCGGTCCTTCAGGGACAAAACGTATTTTCTGCAAACAAAAGGACCAGGCGAAAACGCAGGCCGAGGGCGAGTGAAACATATCGGTATGTACAGCTAGTTGGATCCATAATTAACGACCTTTGTGAATGCATGACATATTTCCTTTGATTCAGCCAAACAACGCACTCCAATGCGTCCAACTGTTGGCCAATCAGCGTGCATGCGAGAAACGTGTGAACGTCCAGTCAGCTGCCGCCTTTCCTTGCGGCAGCCTAACGGCTTCCTTGCTGGGCTGGCACCGCAGGTTCGTTCGAATGTATGCTCCCATCACACCTCCCATTTTTCATGTTCTTGCTGCTGTCCTTTGCTAAATAGCCCATACACTTTACCACTCCCAGTCCTTTTTTTGGATCTGCCGATGTCGGCTCGGTGTCGCACCCAGTATAACGCTCTCACCCTGATCCATGCTGTCCCCTCAGACATCTTCTCAGCTGTACTCGGTTTCTTCTCAGCTTCTTCCCTCCAACATTTACTTCGTATGACCTTTCACCGACTTTCGCAGCCACGACTCCTTTTCTTCACCGCTCCTGTCCATCGGGAATTGGTTCAACCCATACTTCTTCCCCCACTGTCAGCTCAGGTAATTCCCGTGCGCCGTTGTCGCAGTACCGCTTCTGAGTAGTCATTCGCATTTTCAAACTTTTTCAAACGTTATTCAGGGGTTTAGTGGCTATCGACACCAGCGGATTATGATCAGTGTACACGGTTGTCTTTCTTCCAAAAGTATAATCATTGAAACGCTCCATGGCATAGACAACTGCCAGCATCTCTTTCTCGATCTGTGCGTACGGCTACTCGGCCTCTGTGAATGCTCGACTGCGGAAATCCAAAGGTCTTCCGTTCTGCAACAGAACAGCACCTATTCCACTCTGGCTACTATCACACTGTACCTCTAATGGTTGTGCTGGATCGTTATATCCGAGTACGGGCGCATTACTGATAAGGTTCTTAATGGTTGCGAAAGCCAAATCCTGTTCCTTCCCCCAGCTCCAATTTACTCCTTTGTGAGTTAACTGCCTAATCGGAGTCATGACATCAGCGAGTCCTGGTAGGAACCTGCTTAAATAATTCACCATACCGTTTAGGCGATGGAATGCCTTCACGTCGTTAGGGGACGGCATCTCTTGTATCGCCTTAATCTTCCCTGGGTCAACCCTGATTCCGTCGGATGTTAACACATGCCCATGGAAAATCACCTCCTCTTTCCGCAGCTCTACTTCCTCGCGTTTTAGCTTGATGTTCTTTTGCACGCAACACCTCAGGAACCGGTGTAGCTTAGTGTCATGCTCTTCTTCGGTAGAACCGTAAATCAGAACGTCATCTGCCACACAGGTTACGCCATCTAAATCATCTATTGCTTGCACCAAACGCTTTTGGAAAATTTCGCTGGACACTTTCAGGCCAAACGGTAATCACAGCCAACGATAACGTCCGAACGGTGTAGAAAATGTGGTGAGTAAACTGGATTCGTCGTCTAGAACAACGTGCCAGAATGCGGAAGAAAGGTCTACTTTCGTGAAAAACTTAGCTTTTGTCAAACGTGGTAAAACATCTTCTAACGTCGGTAGCGCATAATCTTCTCTACGCAGGGCCTCATTCAGTGGCGTCGGGTCTATACATACGTGTAATTCGCCATTTTTCTTCGTACTGATTGCGACCTGGATAACCCAGTCTGTTGGCTCATCAACCTTTGCAATCA